TATATATATATATATATATATATATATATATATATATATATATATATATATATATATATATATATATATATATATATATATCGTCATATATATATTTTGGTTGTGGTATACTCTACACATCCAAACTCATTGTATGTCGCAGTTGCCTGATGCTTCTTTCATCTGTTTATTGGGGTATCACAGTTGTATGGTACCCTTTTAAATTATTATACTTGTAGCGTTCGTAGGATCCTCTTTGTAAAGGGGGGGAAAGGGGGAAGGGGGAGGCCCTTGGGGAGAGGGCAACATTGTTGTATACCTTCCCCTTTTGCAGGTTATGGTAGTTGTATCATGCCTATTCACTTTTTTTTTTTTTTTTTTTTTTCTCGATCTGGAGGCGGCATAGTAGCATACGAAAGGGCTGTTGTATTTTGCCAATGCAAGCGCCTCTCTGTGGAGAGCTTATTCTTGCATGGATTATTATATGGGGAGAAGGTTACCTTGTCCTGGATTTGGGGGAAAAAACAAAGAAAACCCCTTTGCCTGAATAAAAAAAATAGTAGAAACAGAAAACCAGTCGCCTGCTGGATGAAATCGTGAACAAAAAAACGAATAAGAAAGCCCCTTGCATGGATTTTTTGGGGGGGGGGAAAGAAAAACTCCTTTGAAGAATACCCCTTCCCCTTGTTGCCTGGATGACGTGTTTTGGACCACAAATTACTTCTTCAGGGACTGCATCAACGGCCAGAAATAGAGAATCGCGGTGATCGCGTTCTTGCCCCTGTTCTTTTTTTATTTTTGTTAAAGCTCCATCTATTGGTGGGGAGCATCACCTGCTGGAAATGGGATCCAACGTCCCTTTAATACATCATAGAAATATTTCTTCAGCAAACATAAGCTTAAAAAGAAAACAAGTTTGGGTCCCAGCCAATGGATATTGAGGAACCGACAATCCCCCTTCCCCCTCCCCCGGATGTAACTGCAATGGACATAGACCAACAAGAGGACACCAACGGTCCCCTGCCTGACATGGACATGGAACTTAAAATCAGGATCATTGCCGACTAGCTGATAGACGGCTTTAGAATCCAATACCCAGACACCACGCAGGACTTCTGGGACATTACGTACACTCAGCTATTCCCCTTACTAGATAAAAGCCCGACCCTGCGTAAGGCCCTGGAGGAAGGGCCTCCCCCACACATCACCTGGTCTGAAGTCTTCCAGCGGATCCGCCACCTGGCTGCCCAACAATTCCACCCCCCTGTGCAACAACAACAGGGAGAAGGAGAAGGAGGTCAACAAAGAGCCCAGGTTGATCCCCACACCAGCCAGCCTCGTCACAAAAAACTCAGATATATGGTGGAAACAGGCTAGTACGAGAAGAACCTGCTTCGGAAAGATGGGGTGGCAGTCATTCCGCTGAGATACGCAAATGATAGGATGGAGAATGGCCTATCTCCAGTGCAAGGACGGTACACGCTGCCAGGCTGGGACTTTTTCAACATCTGGTCCCTCCCGAACCTGCGGGCCAGTGACTTCAAGAAAAAGGCAGACTCCTTTCTGAGCCAGCACTATCCAGCGGGAGTCCTGGCAACCCTCCCTCAATTTGAGGGGCTGATAAGGGTAGCTACCACAGATCTATATGCCTTATTCGAAGAGGACAAGGACTCCAACCTGAAATGGTTCCGCCACGGAGCACTGATGGACCTTCCCCTCCAATAAGTGATTGTCAATGCCTTCTGGACACAGGAGGACCTCCTCACCTGCTTATCGAAGGCCCTACGGTATAGTCTGCTGTGTACAACCGACTGGTCCACCAAGCCATGGGATCGCGTCTAAGTAGGGAGTGAAAAGCAGTCTCGGCATGGATGAAATAGACACCTTATATTGTAGAAATCCACAATGGAAGCACTGCCTCCGAAATGCGGATCTTGATCAGGGTTGTCAGGCGGGGGCCCCCGGGGGCAGAGCCGGGGTAGGGGTTCGACCCCCGGACCCCCGCCGCCTGGGTGCCCCACCCCCGCCCACCACAAAACACCCCCACCGGCGCCCCGACACCCGCACCCCCGGACCC